TAAACATGAATGGCTAAAATGATTGTCAGCCATGGGGGGAGAAGATGGCAGGGTTGTATGCTGTGCTATGCTTGATGATGGGTGGTAGCAGTTTTCACTGTATCTCAAGAAGCATTGGCACAGTGCTAGGCACCGAGCGGGCACCAAATGAGGATTTGTTGACTCTCAGTTGAACGGTGCTGGTATTAAAATGTAGGTCCTGCCAACCCTCTATAGATATAGGTGTACAGAACTATCTGGATCCCCATCTCAGCTGATGCATTTGTGGGATAAGCAAGCTCATGTGGCTTTCTGATAGAGACAGGCTATTCGGGGTGTGGAAAATGCAAGAGGCATTTTATAGTTTCTCGTGCTATTCACAGCTCATTTTATACAAAAGGAGCAGTCAGGGGGCCGAGAATGAATGCTACGTTTCAGTGAGGTGTCCAAGTACAATGTCCAGAGGCAGTTGGAGACACTCAACTGGAGTGTCTGGCTGGAGCTCAAGTTACAGGAGGCAAGGTGGACTGTGGAGGCTGGAGAGTCCAGGGCCACACCTGAGCCTCAGGCAGGCCCAGGGGAGAGCGGACTGGGGGGCGGGGGAAAGGGAAGGAAAGGTACACCATTTAGGAAGCGAGGGAAGTGAGAGTGTCTAGGACAGTGATGGCGAACCTTTTGAGCTCGGCGTGTCAGCATTTTGAAAAACCCTAACTTCACTCTGGTGCCGTGTCACGTATAGAAATTTTTTGATATTTGCAACCATAGTAAAACAAAGACTCATATTTTTGATATTTATTTTACATATTTAAATGCCATTTAACAAAGAAAAATCAACCAAAAAAATGAGTTCGCGTGTCACCTCTGACACGCGTGTCAGAGGTTCGCCATCACTGGTCTAGGAGGAGAGTCAGTGCTGTCAAGTGCCAAATGCTGTGGAGGATGAGGGAATGGCGCTCCCAAAGATGTATTTGCCCTGGCCCAGAGGTAGGGCTGCAATAACGCCAGAGAATAGAAGGCTAATGGAGAGGCGAGGATTGCAGAATGTCAGAAACTCAGTGGGCAGTAGGAGATGGAAGGAGGGGGAGACACCGACAATTTTGTCTGTGAGTGGAAGGCAAAATGTAGAGGTGTGCGGTTAAAATAAAGAGCTCCAAATGTAAGGCTTCAAAGAATACAGAAAAGGGCTGTTGAAGAGGATGCCTTACAGGAGCCTGGATTTATGTTGGGTTCTGAAAATGAGACGTGGCTGGGCGCAGAGCAGTGGGTGGAAATTAGGGTGTGCACAGTTGCCTCGGTAAAATCCGAAGCCCCCAGGTTAGTAACTTGGTTTGAAAAGCAAAGCACTCTGAGCACAGGGCCAGTCAGGAAGCTGTCCTTAGAGTGGGACCTAGTGCTTTGTGCCTCCAGTGTCCTTTGAAAGTTGAAAGAAACTTAAACACTGTAATTAGTAGCAATATCAGCTCACACATGCACATTGCTCAGATGATTGACAGCTAGGCTCTGGGGGGCGGTGGGTGTCAGAGAGACAGACAGAGCCTTGAGCTCCCTCACCTGTGAACTGCGCAATGATACCCTTTCGGAGGGCTGGCGTAGGGCTAGGCTAATGTCTGTAAGATCATTTAGCACTAGTGACCAGCACAAGGTGACCACTCAGCTACTGTCTTTAATACAACGATCAAACCACCAGCTACATATTCCCTTTTGGGAGGGAGAAAGCTAAAGTAATTAACCAAGGCTGCCCAGTCAGAATGGAGAGGATGAGATTCCAAACTAGTTCTTCAGGTGCCACAGTCTGTCTTCTTCACTGGTTTTCCCTCCTCCCTCCTTTTAGTGGGGAATGTTAAATGTTCCCTCCCACCTTTGTTAATGACTGCTTATGGGTTGGCCAGTAAGCCGTGCATAGTCCTAGAGCTCTCTCTCTCTCTCTCTCTCTCTCTCTCTCTCTCTCTCTCTCTCCCTCTCCCTCTCTCCCTCTCTCCCTCTCTCCCTTTGCACTTGTTCAGTGGCATCAGTGGGAGTGGGGTGGAGAGAAGGGTATGAAGATGAATAAGGCAGAGATTCTGTCCCCAAAGTGTCTACGGCCCAGGATAGTGGGGAAGTACTCTGTCGACAGGTAATTAAAGTAAAATGTGATAAGTACCAGAATAGACTATAAACAGAGTGTGGTGGCAGCCCAGCCGAGAGAGAAACTCCCTCTGGAAAAGCTGGGCACGGCTTCAGGAGAAGAGGTGACGTTCACCTTGGATCCTAAAGAAGAACCAACAGTCATCAGGTGGAATCAGAGAACAGGCATTGGGGCAGCGACAGGACGCTGAGCCAGGTCCCGGGCAGCAGCGTGACGCTCCAGGGCCGGAGCAGCCTCGGGGCTCGGGCTCAGCTGCTCGGCAAG